ATTAATGACTTGCTTAAATACTGCTACAGTCTTATTTGCATTCCTCCCACAAGCAAAATCCCTTCGCCTTTATCGGGCCCTCCCACAGACTCAGGCTTGAGGTTAAGGAGTTCATCATCTCAATCAAGCCCAGGTGTGAAGGGAAGTCTCGTCAAGTATCTGAAGACTCCAGGACTGAAGAGCTCGAGAGATGAATAATTATAAAAGAGCAAGCGATGAGAGGCACATAGCAGTTGTTGCTCCCCAGGAATTAGAAATCCATCTGGACATATGTCACCAATGCTTGATTAAGGCCCAATCCTCCCCTTTAGGAATTATTCCCTATAGTTCTTGGGTCCCCCATCTGGGCTCGGCTTCTTCCTTCAGAGCCATTCTTTTTAAAAATAATAAATAATCCATGAGCATGGCCAGGTAGATTTCTCACCCTGCTTTCTTGTGCAGAAAATTGTGGATTCTAAACCATCTGAGTTTCTTTTGTCTCTTTCAGCCCAAGATGGTATTGCTTCAGCCTAGCCAAGCCTCTTGAGATTTGTATCTTATATACTTCCATTCATTAGACAAGAAATCATATGAAGTATTTGATACAAACCCTTCCCTATCATCAGCTCTTGAAGACGTCTGAGCAGATTTCTCTTCAAACTCTTGAAGGCCTGTTTTTCAAGAGGGATGAGCTACTGTTATGATGTAATGCTAAAATGGTCCCCAAAGCCTCACGACTTTGGAAGGTGATTGGGGTACTCTATGGCCAATCTGCTGTTGGGAGGTGAGAATGGAATGGAGGGGGCACGAGCTGGAGGGTGTATTTCTGTGGCCGGCTCCTCGCTTCTCTCTGCTTCCCGGCTCCCAGTGGATTGAGCACCTTTTCCTCCACCGTCCCCTCTGCTACCCAGTCTCTGCCATGGAACCTCAAAGACTATGGAGCAAAGCCAGGAGCCACAATTAACTTCTCTTCTGTAAGCAGTGGGTGTTGGGCACCGTATCTCAGTGATGTGCAGATGACTAAGAAATCCACAGAGCATAACCTTAAGGTCTGTAGATGCTTTTCATACAGCTCACAGATACCATTTAAAATCTGTCTGAAATCTTGTATTTACTTATTTATTTTAAGTATTTGGTACAGGGTCTACAGGATCTCACTACACAGATCAGATTCGTAAGAATTCTCCTGTTTTCAGCCTCCCAAGTGCTGGGATTACAGGAACGTGCCACCATGCCCCATCTCCATTGCTGTCTCAGCATGCCCCGGGGGTAGGACCACCACAGTATGTTGGGGATGGAACCCAGCCACTATGCTCTGCCTGAGCTGTCTGTCCGGCCCCTGAGATCTTAAAAGAAGGACTTAAGATTAACCTTTTGCCTTCATTCTGACCCTATGTGTGCATTATCCTGAAGGATCTGATCTTTTCCATGGGATCCTAATTTACTATTAGGACCCTTTTGCTGGCAGAAAGTAACTGCTATGTCCCTTTATGTATCTTCCAACTAAAAATGGCAATACTTAGGATTTTTTTTTAGATTATTGTTTACAACTCTTTGCTATCTTTTTATTATAGGCAGCTAGAAGAAGCCAGGTAGTGATTGAAATGCTCTGCCTGGAGATTTTCTTAAGTCTATCATTTGGTATACTACTTTCCACATTATTGTAGAGTTTTGTTTTGGTAAACTCCCCACCACTGCACAGCAGAGATTTTCTTTCCTTTAACTACCTGCAGCTTCTACTTTAGCTTCTCTTGGTTTCCCCTAACACTCTGCTGACATTTTTCTCAAGGTCCCATTAGGTTTCAGCTAAAAGAGCCAAGACCTTTCAAGCCTTTGCCTGCTGCCCAGTCTCACAGCCCATGCTGTGCCTTTGAGGTTTTTATTACAGTAACCCTCATTTGCAGGTAGCAAAATTCACCTTGGTTACCATTGCTGCATGAAAACTTGCCTCAAAATCCAGAAGCTGCAAACCACCTTTTTTATTTTGATGGTAATTCTGAGCATCAGAAATTTGGAAAGGACTCAGCTGAGTTCTCACTTGAGGTTACTCATGCAGCTTTAGCCAGATATCAGCTGGGGCTGTGAATATCTGATGACTTGACAGGACCGGATGTGCAAGATGGCTCATTCCCATAGTCAGGCATTGATGCTGGCTGCCAGCTATGAGCTGGGCTGAGCTGTCTGTCACTGCCTGCCTGGGGACTCTCCACACTGCAGTCTCAAGATGCTTGACCTTCTTTTTGGGTACCAGTCTCCTGGAGCTGACAGTCCAGAAGAACCAGACAAAACCCGATGGTCTTTTATGACATCACTTCTGTTGTATGCCTTTGGTTACAAAGTAGTCACTAACTGATCCCAGATTCATGGAGATGGGACACAGGTACTGCCTTTGGATGAGAGAAGTGACAAAGAATTTATAGGTATGTTTTTAAATTGCCACATAATATATTCAGTACCTAAGGTGAAGCGCAAAAGCACAGTATAGAATTGCAGTATGCTGTGATTGAAGTGCTTCGTAGGCATGGACGTATAGAAGGAAGAGGTGCAGAATGTTATAACTATCTTGTTACTAAGGATGATTTTCTCCATTTATTTTACAATAAAAAAGAAGTGCTGGGCCAGCCAGATAGCTTGACGGATGAAAACACCTGCTTAGGCAGACACAGGGCCTGGGGTTTGAGCCCTGGCCTGTCTTGTGGGTCCCACCTCCAGGGCACACTGATACAGTGATTGACTGGGCTTGGTGGCCTGTGCCTATGATCCCAGTGCTTGACAGGCTTAAAAACAGGAAGGTTCACTATGAGTCTGATTTGTGTAGTGAGACCCTGTAGACCCTGTACCAAATACATGAAAAAGAGAAGTGCTTCTGTTTTTGCATTACCACTTCTGCTTCATTTTTCCTCCTAGTTTATCTTGAGGGTTAATGTGAGACTGGTTTTAAACAGGTTTGGAGAAAGAGAGGATATTGACAGGGTGACTAACTGGCCGTGGAGGTGACCCTGGCTGTGGCAGTGACAGACTGAACTGTGGTGTCTGGGCTTTGGACACTAGGTTTACCCTGGGACTGAACGGGACTGTGCTAGACAGTGCAGGAACAGGACTGTCCCACCGAGTTCCAGGGAGCAACCCAAAGTGCTACCAACTGACTTACAGGAGCAAGACCTCCAGTTCAGGTTTGCACCCTTAGCTGCATCCAGTTCTGCTTGCTGCATGAAATGAATAGCAAAAGAAATTTACCAAATGATACCACTGAACAGTAATACACACGTGTCAGGACAGAATGTGCATGCGTTCAGTCTCCCAAGCTACATGAAGTCAAAGCCATCTGTACCACACTGATTTGCCTTCCACCCTCTGCTTGCCAGATAGCTTCATTGACCTGCTTTAGCTCACATAGCAAGACCTGAACCACATTACAGATGAAAAGCCTGTTATGGACTGAACAGAGCCCCATCCCACCCCACTCCCGGAATCACAGGTTGAAATCCTCACCCATTGTAACTGTATTTGCAGATAAAGTCTTTATGGAAGTCATTATGATGAAATGAAGCCAAACAGCTGAAACACTGTGTTCAATAGCATTGGTGTCTCAATAAGAAGACGAAGACTGCAGCCAATCAGTCCAATCAGGCTCTCCTCCTTGGGGAGGCCTTGTGCATAGTGGCTTCAAACTGCAATGAATGCAGCCTGTTGCATGCATGGGCTGCTCTAAGGGTCTTGGAGGTTGCCTTCTCCAGTGGGAGTTCAGGCCTTTGATCTCATGTTGTTCCCAGTCTGGATTCTGCGCAGGAAAGACCACCCCTGGAATCCCATGGCAGAGTGGCTTGGGTTCACACTGGCTGGGTCATCACGCCCATCCACATCAAGGTGCAGAGCAAGGAGCATGTGACTGAAGTCTCACCCAGGGCCAAGTTCAAATCTCCTGAATGCTAAGCAATCCACATCAAGAAAATGGGGCTTGTCCAAGTTTAGCATGAGTGGGTTTGAAGAGATGGTGGCTGAGAAGTGAACTGTAGCAGATGTCGTTGGGATCAAACACATCATGGTCCCCTGGGCAAGTGGTATAGGCCCTACACTCATGAAGGTTCACTCTTCTGTCTCCTCCTTTGTGAAACCCACCAAAAAATTCTACTTCCTGTCAAGGAAGAAGACGCCAACCATCTCTTTCTTTGTCTTTACCGCTGTCTGCTCATTCACAGAGGGAAGGCCATGTGAGGACACCGAGAGCAGGCAGCCATCAGCGAGCTGAGAAGAGACACCCAGGGCTACGCAGGGCTCCTCACACCTTGATCTTGGACTTCCAGTGCTGTGATGAAATAAATTTGTGCTATTCAAGTCGCCCAGTCCCTGGACTGTATTATTGCATCCTGAGCAGACAAGACAAGGCCCTGCAGGCTGGCCCTGGTGCTGTTGACACGCTTGCTTCATTTGCACAGCATTTTCTTGCTTCCTGGTAAAGATGATCTATGTCACATGATGTCCTTCCTGTCCATGGTAAGCAGCAGAATGGTCCCCAATGATAGCCACATCCTAATCCTTCAAACCAGGACTATGTGACCTTAATGGCCTTCAGTGAAGTCCAGCAGCTATAGCACTATATGAAATTGCTTTCCATGAGGACCAAGGAAAAAAATTGAAAAGCAAACATTTGCTGTTTCTCCCAATGAGAACAATATTGAAAAGAAAACTTAACTATAATTTATGAAAATGCCAAGATGAGAAGGCTGGCACCTCACTGTCTTGACATAGAAGAGATGGATGGGGATGACACAGAGGTGCTGAGGAAGGTGGAAAGGGCATTCCTGGATAGGGACAGCAAGACCAAGAGTTGGGAAAAAAAGACGAACATGCTAGGCCAAGGTTCCTGTCCCCAAGGGATTTCCAACCAATGGATGACGTCTCACCTATACGGAGAACTGGAGATTCTCTAGATGTGCTGGCAAGCCCATCAGAAGGCTGATTTATTGAGCCCATTCAGGGTTAGATTCTTTTTAATTAATCAAAATTTTCCACATATACATAAAAATATGGAATGATTCATGAATTTGTGTGTCCTCCTTGGGGAGGGACCATATCAGTTTTCTCTGTGTCACTCCAATTGAAGTCTGTGTGCTTCAAAGGGAGCACAATGGATAGTTTAAAGGAAAAAAGGCAGAAAGACCTAGAAATGATGACTCCAGTGACCCAGCAGAGAGAACAATGTTCATCCCAAATTGAGATTTATCACGGCAGAAGGAAGCCCAGTAAGAAAGAGGAAAATGTGGAAGGTCAAAGTCTCGCAGAAATACAGACCTGTGTGTGGTCATCATACTTGTGTTGGCTGAGCTTAAACAACTACATGGAAATCCTGGTCGTGGGAAGAGGGCCACTGAAGAAGCTCTAGTCGGGACTGAGGCATCCTGTCCATATACTTCAGGTAAGATAGCGAAGAAGTTAACGAAAATTTTTAAAGACTTGCACTAATCTGATCTCCTTTCAGCATCTCATTATCAGCTTCTGTTTCATATAAAATCAGTGAGGTTCTTCAAGCTTAACCTCATGTTTCACTTACAATCTCCACTCAACTTTTGCACATTTTCAATGAAGATTTCTTAAGAACCTCCCTCCCAGAGCCTCCGAGAAAAGTGCTTTGTGTCAAGTATGAAATCTCAAGCTCTGTGTAGTCATCCAGGTCCAAGATCTTAGAAGCTTTATAGTTTATCTGAACTTCTTTGAAGCTTTCTGGGTTCTCTTCTACAAAATGACAATCACATTATAGTACTCTCACGATAAGTGAGGTTTGAGGAGCATCTAGCCTGTGCCTGGTTGACTGTAGATCTGACTCTTTTCTACGAAATTTGAGCCCTGAAAGCAAGGCTAGTTGAGTTAGTTGTGACTTCATCGTGATGAAGCTGTTGTTCTTGAGTCCTGAGTCTGGGGAGGAAAGCACTTCTTCCTTGCTGTGGGGTTTGGAGGACTCAGCTTGGATTAGGCTCTAGGGTGTAGGTTCACCTGAGGTTGAAGGAAGCACAGACTTTCTCCAAAGTGGCCATTAGGGTGCAGATCTTGGAAGCTGTCCTATAAAGAATATGAGCCCAGATCTAGATCCGTGAGAGTTGTGGGATGTTTTCTGTCTACTTCCTTTGTCATAGTTCCATGCCTACAACTGGTCTCATTACAACTGACATCCTCATCTCTGGTGTTCTGGGAGACATAAATAGATGGACTTACCCACACTTGGGATGAAGTAGACACAAAGGGAGCAGAACTGCCCTCCTGGAGGTCAGATTGAGAGTGGCAGTGGAGTTGTCAGCAAAGCATCAGATGTCACAGAGATGCTGTATAGCAGACAGAAGGAGAGGACTGAGTGGCAAAATCCAAGTATTTGTGCCTGAGTGCTTGAAAGAAGTCACCTGCAGGACAGAAAGAGCTGGACATGCTAGATGGACTGGAGGAGCATTTTCTGCTAACTATGTGGATAGAACCGTGAATACAGTCTACTGGGTGGCTAACCCAACACCTCTGATGGAACACACATGTGCCTACTCCCACTGAGGATGGCCATTGTATATAGCTACCATGGGATTGTGAGACCAGGCCCAAGGGAGGTAGCTGGCCCTGGTGCTAAAACTTGCCATCATTTATGGAAACAAATCCTGCAGTTGGCCACCCAGAAAATCCCCAAAGCCTTTTTATAAATGAAGGAATAATTGCTTGTCTATCATTTTTCCCAATAAATCACGTGTCCCTTTTTACTGAGTCATGTGGAACTCTCTCTTCTAATCTGAGTTCTAGGATTTGTTACTAGAGTGCATTAAAAAAAAACAGAGAGAATCTGGTTTTCAGGTTGTCCTACTGTGCCAAGAATTAACTTTTTAGTTTTGAGATGTTTGGGAAGCTTGTGAGGCTCCAGATCGAGCTGGCTAGCTGGCAGTGGGAATGCAGACAGCAGGTCTGGGTCCATATCTGTTTGCTAAGAAGTATGGAAATACGCTTTGTCAACCAGGGAAGCTGGGTGTTGATGGACACTTGTCCTGTCCACACGTAATACTATGGGGGTCCTCACCCCCTAGTCTTGCCCGACCAATCTGGGTTCCCTGCCCTTTGACTGGGACCTGGACAGTAGGGGAACACTGCTTCAGCTCAGGCCCGCTCCGATGGTCAACAGCTCTTCCTGTTCACCTCTCTCATAAGCAAAGAAGCCAGGTGGGAGCCAACCCCTTCTGCTACCCCTTCCCTTCAAGTCTCCCAAACAAGCCAGGTCTCCATGAATCAATTCCTGTTTTAGGACTGTGATTTGCCTTGCCTAAAAATAAGAAGTCTTGCTTATTTTTAACTGCACCTCTTCTGCTTCTGGGTCTGCATGAATTCTAGTTGATTCGTAGCTTGAAATATGGAACTATTTCCATGATCATAAACACCCACGCAGGGTGCCCACACACTGAGCCCACACCGCCCTACTCCAAATCAGGGAGGCTGACTCAGTTTCCTGCTGACTCACTCACAGCAGCCTCTGCCTTACCAGTCAGCTGGCTCTAGTGCCTACAAGCGGCTCTGGGCAGAAGACAAGAGCCCTGGGAATCAGCTTCACGGAGGCTCGACCCGAATGAGAGGCTCAGCTGGGTTCTCATGGCCTGGGTCTTCCCACTGAGCCAGAGAGTTCAAGGGCACACTGAAATGCACCTCTGAATCCGCATCTGTGACTAGCGATTAAGCATCTCCCAAAGTTCAGCCAGTAGGATGGCCAGCTGCTTAGAAAAACTGGATTCTAAATTAAACTTCCAATCACCTATGGAAGAAAGTAAATCCTATTCCTAGTGACATGGAAAGTCATTTTAAAAGAGCTCTTTTATAATGAAGAGAAGGGGTAATTAGGTTGTCCTTGATTTTCCCAATACGCTTTCCTTCCTGTTGAGATCAATAAAACTCTTGTTACCAATCCTTTGGAGTTCTAAGTGTTGATACTGGGGTTCCTTCAAGAGAACAAAAGGAATTAGATTTTCTTTAAGGAATATATTTGCTATTTATATCAGCCTTCTCATATCTACTCTAGTGAATTTCTTTGCATAACTGACAACATTCACTGCTACTGACAAAAAGTTGATAATCTTCTAATAAAAACATTCAATTCAGAGGTGATGGAAATAAAAAACACTTTATCTTCTCATAATCTTTAATTTTAATAAAATCAATGGGCTCTGGGCATAGGGCTTACAAAAGACAGACAAATGGTCCCTCTGGAGGAAAAAAAAACAAGAAATTTCAGAGGAAATCTATTCATAATCAAACAAGAGAAATATAATTTTCAACAACCTCTGAACCCCTGTCTTTACAGCCCTAACAATGAAGAATTGGAGCACCCTTAAGCAGTTGCTAAGTTTTTTTCATTAATTTTGAGAAACAAATAGCAATGAGACAGTTTCAAAACCGATTAGTAGGACAATTTCAATAATTAATGCATTGCATATTGTTGTCTTTGTAGTGGTTATTCATAGTGCAAGATGAAGACATGATATCCTGTCCAAACACTATTAGTACAAATCTTTCTTCTCATTGAAATCAGAGAAAGTAGGATTGTAGTATATCTATCCTAACTATTTTGTATATACAGATGCAAAATGGTCCTTCATTTATATCCCCTTTTTTTGTTTAGTTTTGTCAGAGATGGGTATTCCATTGCCATTTAAATGTTGTAGGTGCATGAATTCTAGCTGCCAAATTGTGATACTTAATTTTATGTGTCAACTTGGGTGGGCCACAGTGCCCAGCTAGACTGCCAACCACTTTCCTGAATGTTGCTGTGAGATGTTTGCAGATGAGACTAACATTTAGATCAGTGAGCTTTGAGTAGGGCAGGTTGCCTTCCATCACACCAGACATTAATCCAACCAGCAGAATGGATGGAACAAGACTGGCCTCCTTACAGCAAGAGCAAAGCGGGGCATATCACAATCCCAGATTTCAAGCTATATTACAAAGCCATGGTGATAAGAACAGCATGGTAATGGAAACAGTAACAGACTTGTGGATCAGTAGAACAGAGTACAGGATGCAGAAATAACCCCCGGCACATTCAGCTACCTGATCTTTAATGAAGGCCAAAAATCTACACTGGAAGAAAAACAATCTCTTTAATAAATGGTGCTGGAAAAACAGGCAAACATGCAGCTGATCAACTCTAGACTCATATATCTTTCCATGTGTTAAACTAAAATTAAAATGAATCAAAGATCTAGACGCTAAAACAGAAATGCTTAGTCTTCAGGAAGATAAAAGAGGTAAAATTGTTGAGGACACAGATGTAGGTAGGGACTTTCTGAACAGAACCCCAGTTGCACAAGAGATAACACCAAGCACCATCAAGTAGGAGCATCTCAAATTATAATGCTTCTTCACAGCAAAGGAAACAATAAGGAGATGACCTAAAGAGTGGGGAAAACTTGTGCCCATCATTCAGCAGATAACTCATATCTAGACTATATGAAGAAGTTTTAAAACTTAGGCACCCCCAAGAAAAGACCCCACCACAAATGGGCAACAGAAATGAATAGAAGGTTTGTGCTCCTCGTAAGATAAATAAATGAAAATGTTTAATATCTTTGGTCATTAGAGAAATGCAAATGACAACAGCACTGAAATTCCATCTTATTCCAGAAAAAATTGATTTCTTAATGAAAAATGGCTATCATTAAGAAATCAAACAGCAATAAATTCTGGTGAGGATTAAGGGGAGAAAATAACCCTTTCTGTATTGTTGGTCAGAGTGTAAACTGGTACAACCACTATGGAAATTAGGGCAGAGATTAAAAAAAAAGCACAAAAAATTAAAGGTAGACATTCCATCAAGCCCAGTTATTCTCCTTCTAGGTGGATTCTGAAAGAATAAAAACATTGCATTACAGTGAAACTTACATATCCTGGTTTGTCGTGTCACAATTCATAACAGCTAAATCTTGGAAGCAGCCATTATGCTCATTAACAGATTAATGGATGAAGGAAATGGGGTGTTTGTACACAACAGAGGGCCACTCTGTCATAAAGAAGAAAAACTTGAGGCATTTGTAGGAAAACAGATACAACTTGACACCATAATGTTCAGTGAAAAAAAATCAGTCACACAAGCTTAAATATCATACAATTTCTCTGAT